AGTGTTCAAATTTTTTTTCCATTAGTAGATGCATAAGAATATTGAGTATGAAAGTGGAGGCCTTTTTTTAAGCAAATTTTAAGTTTCCTGACAACTGATGTAGCCAGCAGAAGCTTGAATGCTGTCTGTCAGGTGAAACACATCATCCTTCATAGGACTTTTGTCCACTGTAGTATTTAAAAATTATTTACTGGTAACATCTGCTTATTAAAGCAAGTATTGTTTACCATATATGTGTCAATCATGCTAGTTGCAATTAACTTTAGTTAGAATTTACAGCACACAGTTAGGTGTGATTCACCTGGGCAAAGGTAGAGATGTCTGCATCTGACTCAGCATCCTCTGACCTTTATAGAGGAAATATTTTAATGCTTTTAGGAAGAGATTCAGCTGCTCCTAATCTATGTGTCTATCCGACACTGGATAAACTTTGACTGGGAGTTTAAAAGGAGCAGACTGTCACATAAACTTTGTTTAGAGCTCTTTCTTCTGTTGCATAAAAGGAACATCATGGCACGGCACTGCTATTGTACTTACAAAGTTTGAAGCTTGTGGAAATCAATACAAATAGGCAGAGTTAGCAACAGAAATAAAGGCACAAAGGATAGATTCTAGAAACTACAGCCACACTTTTCATTTTTTTAAGGCTTGTGACAATTTTTCTACAAACAGAAAGAAGCATTCAGGTTCTTCATTCTCACAATCAGCAATAGTGTAAAACATCTGTTGCTGAAATTATTTCAACCTTAATAGGTCTGAATCAGAAAAACCCCAAACCTTCAGTGGCATTTTAAAGAAAGCATATAGATTGCTGCCTCCCACTAATTGTTTTTGGACAAATAAATACATATTCCAAACAAACTCTGTGGAAAAAAAGACCTGTTTTTACAGTGCTACTACTGCTTCAAGAACTACACAAAAAGCATCTTCAAGGGATGTAGATTTTTTCAAGGGACAATTACGAAGAGCTGAAAGATGACACAGAATGTAACATTGTGTTCTTCACACCGGCAAAGCAGCAGTGAAAATCATCCTGAAAACAATGCTACAGGCAAGTAATTTTGAAGACAGACAAATGTATATTACTTGCATAGCTGCACTTGCTAAAATGAAAGAAAAAGCTTAACAGCTACATACAAAACTGTCTTTTCTAACTACACTAACTATTAAAAAAAATCCCTTGGCCTAGAAAGCTTGAGAAGTAGGAACTTCAAGACGATAAGAAACAAGAACCGTATTTCAGTCAGGAGAGAGTAAGTGTGAGCACAATGCTTATTTCTGTTGTTTCTGATCTCTCATAGTGGCTCAAACAAAGGATAGCAATAAACTGAAAACAACAACTATCTGCACATACAGGCCCTTTCATTTGTTTTTGCAAGTGAAGGCCAAGATCAGCACTTGGTTCTTGTTCCTCTGTGATAACTGATGTAAATTCTTAACTGTACTCCAGCAGACTGAAGATGACAGAGTATTCCTGAGACAGTATTTCATTGAGAGCCACTCCTGTGCGTCACGCCGCTGCCTTCACACCAGGGTAAGGAGGAAGTACCTCCATTCCTTAAAACAGGTTGGACAAGAGACACCCAGCTGGGCTTGACCTGGCTCTTCCTTACCCCCCATAGCTGAGACAGAGCTGGGTTTCTTTTCAGCAGCTGGAACAGCGCTGGGTTTGGGTTCAGCTGGGATTTGTTATGAGAGAAACACTGAGAACATCCCAGTGTTTGCACTTCTGTTGCTGAATGTGAAGGACTTAGATTTTGCAGACTAACAAAACACAAAGGGGGTGAGGAATGTTTAAATTAATAAGCTTAAATTATCATTTGGCTCTGCCAAGGGGCTATTCCATCTCCTGTCCCCCATGGGCAGGAGATTCATGAGGAGCTCTTCCTCTCTTGCTCTCTCTGGCTTTCACTCGGGCTCTGGCTCTCCCGGGATTGCGGTATCGGTTCGAGATTGTGGCTCCTCCGGGATCGTGATCTGGGAATGGGCTGTGCTTGGTCAGCAGGTGGTGAGCAATGGCACTGGGTATCACTCATTTGCATATTTTACTACTATTATTATTATCATTACTATTTTAGTATCATTATTATTTTAAGTTTTCTTTTATTTCCATGATTAAATTGTTCTTACCTCACCCTATGAGTCTCCTTACCCTTGCCCCCCAATTCTCTCCCCTATCCCCTGGGGCAGGGGGGAAGTGGGTGAAGGGCTGTGTTGGCTGCTGGTCCAGTGAAACCATCACACTCCTAGAATTGGTGATGGGAGCTCAGTGCCATCTCATCAGGTGTTGCATGAATGGGAAGAGCCAAGTGGGAAACGTACGTATTGTCCCTCAGCGACAGACAATTGGTTGAGGCACAGCGTCACTTTTGGTGTGCCATTTTCGAACGAGGACTCATCTGACTCGACACAGGGCACCCAACATGCCAGACAGAGTCAGCTCTGGGGCTGCTGCCAACCACACCTGGGGCACACGGACTCGGAGGGCTGACCGGTGCCCAAGGACTGCTGTCAGGTAAGCGATCTCTTCTGGCTTGACTCTGGAGAACGCCATTTCTGGGTTAGGTTTAAGCGTTTTTGGCTGCATTCTGACTATAAAAAGCCCAACTTATCTCCAGACCCGCGTTCAGAGCCAAGGGGGGTGAGCGGCGGCGGCTCGGCAGCTGCCCCAGCTCCTCTCCGCGCTGCCAGAGCCCGCACCGATCGTTTCTCTCTTCACTCTCGGCTCCAGCAACTCTTGCCGGGCCTGTTCTGTCCCCTGGCTGCCAACCAGAGACCTTCCTCCTCCTCCTTCTTCCTCACCCACGGAGCGGGATCACCAGGGCCC